AGAGAGAGAGAGAGAGAGAGAGAGAGAGAGAGAGAGAGAGAGAGAGAGAGAGAGAGAGAGTTAGCGTGTGGAAGAGAGAAAGAGGCTCCAAAATTGTCTAATGAAAGGGGGTTCCCCCTTCCCCGCCCAAAAAACACCTTCTATCCTTTAGATATGCCTATCCAATGACTCACATTGACCAATAGGAAATTAGAAAATTTGTGAGGTGAGAGAAAATAAATCAGAGCCACATATCCCACAAAATAACCATCATGATTTTGAGAAGCACATTAGGAAAGTTACCCCCTTCATGTTTGACCCATATCCACTTATAGTTTAATTAGGATTAAACCAGTTTAAAAACATTCTTGAACTTTCTAATTTATCTCTACTTGAGGAAGTCAAAATAAAATTTCTTGGTCAAAACTAACTCCCACAAAAATAGGCTCGCATAGTCTTTTTTTTTCTATTTAAAAGATTATCTAACTAATCATACTTTAAACAATTTTAATTAAAACAAGAACTAAAAGAAAAAAGAAGAGGGGCGTGACACCCCTTTGGTAGACCGTTGACATATCCCCTATGGGCCACATGTGGGGCTGGAACCAAGTGCCCACATGTGCCCTTCCTTACTTGTATAATTTTGAAAATATTCTTTTTCATGGAAAATTACAGCAGAAATAATTTTAAAAATTCTGAAAAATTCTAAAATTCATAGAAACAAAACTAGTATAGGAAATAAAATATCTAGAAGTAGATTGGTACCAATGGGTACCCCACTAGACCCAGTGACCACGATCCACGACTGTCCTCTCAAACCAAACCAACGAAATAATGACCCATAGTCTCACAGGGGCTCATGATTGACTTGTCAAAGCTGGCTAATAAATAGTGGAACCACAATCCCAGAATGTACCCCCCTGCCCCCCCCCCCCTTTTAAGAACCATCTAAGGACATGTCACTACCGTACAAAGAGGGTCTCTCCCAATGCCCGTGTACACATATTCCTTTTCAGAGTTGCTTCCTGGTAATGTGGCTAGCATATGTACCTCTCATGTAGAGATTAGTTGAGGATTTAGCCCGTGCTCTCACAAGTCTATATCCACACATAGGAAACCACACAGCTCTCTTGGTCTACAAACCATCCTTGAACATCTCTCTGACGTCAACAAGAGATGACCCTCTGTAAACCCTTTTGGTAGTGGCACATGCCTAGGGTTAAGGGTTTGGACATAACCAGGGCCAAAGACTTCTTAATCCTTGGTCAATCGAAACATCACACACTCACACTGAAGTGTATGACCCACTATAAATGTTAATTACATGCTCTCACGAACTTTAAAGACCACAAACCCCAACACTTTAATGTACATCCATATGTCCATGATTAGTAAATAACAATCCTCTTCCTGGAGAAGACTTAAGTTACTTTTGAAAATGGTAGACATCTAAAAGGGATTTTTTTCATGCATGCATAAACCATCTAATTACACTAACCACATAACATACGTCTCGTATATCATTCGAAAACTTGGCCGAATAGACTCGAATTTGAGGAAGTTACTTGGCCTCGAAACCCTGCCAATGCAAGTACATATTTACATATTTGGGGATGAGATACATGTATAATAATGGGGTTAGTGCCTACACTACTTGCCTGAGTACTGAAATTTAAATAGAAACATAAAACGATGAGCAAAATCCCCCCCCCCCCCCGCCCCACCCCTTTGTCATCTCTCTCTCTGCACAAATGTATGTGTGTCTCGAGCCATGAGTCTCTCTCTCTCTCTCTCTGCAATGCTGAGGTACCTTACTCTTGTTCCTAGACACCCTCTTTCACAAAAAGTGGGGCAGAGATCTGCTCCCTTTTCTTATCTCTCCCCCCCCTCTTAGGCAACGACTCTCTCTCTATATGCATTGCCTTGCAGCTCATGTTACCACAAAAGGTTTGCCCAATAAAATTTCTCTCTCAACAGTGGTTTTGAGGTACTCTTACTCTAGTTCTACCCCCCCTCTCCTCCCCTCTCCCCCCTCCCCCCTTCCCGCTGGGGATTCTAGGGTTTTTATATTTTTTATTTATTTCATGGGAGCTATGCACAATGGTAAATTTGGTCATTTTAATAATTATATGGACATGTAATGTCCTTGAACATTGAATTATAATATATAAGGTATCTGGGACAATTTTTGTTTTTTCCTTGATGTAGGAGAACTTGAAGAAATGTAGAAAATCAGCAATAAGCGCCTTGACACAAACAATTTTGGAGAACCTAAGGCATTCTCCCAACTAGGGCTCAAGCCTTGGGTTTCTTTTACAAGACAAAGTCTTTATTTTCTTAAAGAGGAATACATGAATGACTCTCCAGCCCATCCATGCCCTTATTTATATTGAAAAATTATTGTTTTGAACAATATTTGCCTATACAATTAACTTTTGACCAAAGTTCCTAACTTAAGTATAACTTAAAATTAAACTCCCTAACTTTAATTAAAGTATCTAAAAAATCCCTAACTGGTCCAACAATTAAAAAAATAAAAAAAATATGAAATAGCCTCAAGGAAGGTAGCAGTTATCAGGGATTGGCCTACTCCTACTAGAGTGCATGATGTTCGCAGTATTCAGGGGTTGGCTACTTTCAATAGGAGGTTTATCAGAGGCTTTAGTTCGATCACTCCTATCACAGATTGTTTGAAGAAGGGGGGTTTGTTTGGACTGATGAAGCCGAGAAAAATTTTCAGTTGGTGAAGCAACAGATTCTGAGGCATCCGTGTCAGCTCTTCCAAATTTTTATAAAGTCTTCGAGTTGGATTGTGATGCTTCAAATGTTGGAATTGGTGCAATGTTGATCCAAGGAGGTCTCCTTATTGCCTTCTTTAGTGAGAAGTTGAATGACACATCCCAACGCTATTCTACTTATGATGTGGAGTTTTATGCCATCATTCAAGCCTTAAGGCATTGGCGGTATTACCGGATTTATAGGGAATTTATTTTGTTCTCAGATCATGAAGCATTGAAGTATATTAATGGGCTACATAAACTAAATCAACAACATGCTCGATGGGTAGCCTATTTGCAGGAGTTCACTTTTATTATTCGGCATAAAGCAGGCAGCCAGAACAGAGTGGCAAATGCTTTCAGTCGAAGGTCAACCCTATTAACTACCATGGCAACTGCTATTACTAGGTTTAAGTTTATGAAGGATCTTTATGCAGATGATGATGACTTTAGGGAGATATGGGATTAGTGTTGTAGTGGAGTTGTTGGGGATTTTCTTATTCAAGATGGATTTCTCTTCAAAGGAAACCGTCTTTGTATTCCTCTAGGTTCCCTTAGAGAAACCCTAATAACAGAGCTTCATGGGGGAGGTCTTGTGGACATTTTGGTTGAGACAAAACCATACTATTGGCGAAGTGTAAGTACCACTGGCCAAAATGAAGAGAGATGTTATGCGGTTTGTAGAGAGGTGTCGTATGTGTCAACTGGCTAAGGGGCAACGACATAATACTGGGCTTTATTCTCCACCTCCTATTCCTAATGCACCTTGGGAGGATGTTAGCATGGATTTTGTTCTGGGACTTCCACATACTCAAAGAGGTATGGATTCCATATTCGTGGTAGTGGATAGATTCTCAAAGATGGCTCATTTTATACCTTGCAAGAAGACTCTGGATGGCACACATGTTGCTAACTTGTACTTCAAAGAGGTGATCAAGTTACATAGTGTTCCGGATACGAAGTTTCTTAGTCATTTTTGGGGAACTTTGTGGAAGAATTGGGCACTCGGTTACAATTTAGTAGTGCTTATCATCCGCAGACAGGCCAGATTGAAGTGGTAAACCGTACTCTTGGCAATATTTTGGGAAGTATTGTGAGGGATAAGAAGAAACAATGGGCCTAGCGCTGCCTCAAGGCCAAATTTGCCTATAATAATGTTTGCAATAGATCTACTAGTAAGAGTCCTTTCAAGGTGGTCTATGGAAAAAAAACCCTACTCATTCGCTTGACTTGGTTCCTTTCCAGGCCAATGGGGAGGGTCATGCTACTGTGGAGGACTTGGTTGAACAAATGAAAGGAGTGCATGAACAAGTGCGTGCTAGTGTAGAAGCCAATACATGCAAATACAAGGAAACGGCGGACCAACATCACCACTTCAAGGAGTTTAATATGGGAGACTGGTTAATGGTGTATCTTAGGAAAGAATGACATCCAGTAGGAAAATGCAGCAAGCTGAATGGTTGCAAGGCATGTTCATTCAAAATTTTGAAGAAGATGGGCATCCATGCTTACAAGGTCGCTTTGCCTTCACACATGGAGACTTCAAACATCTTCAACATTGTTGATCTGCCAAAGTATCATGGTATGGAGGTGCATGAAGATGAAGATGTGAACTAGAGGGCGAGTTCTCCTCAGCCCAAGTAGAATAATGGAATTCTGAGCACAACAAGTAGCCACAAGTATCTTCTTTTGAAGCGATAGATTCCTCCTAATTTTTGCTATATTTGGAGGATGAAAACCCTAGGAGGGCTTCCACGAAAATAAATAGTTTGGGTTTTTTTTTAGTTTTTTAGGCCATTTCAGATGTTTTTATTTATTAATTTCATTGTTGGACCAGTTAAAGACTTTTTAAATATTTTAATTTAAGTTATGGAGTTCAGTTTTATATTATACTTAAGTTAGGACCTTTTTAAAGACGGAGCTAGGAATACACCTTACCACGGCCGGCAGCTACTTAACCATCCCGTTTTTGGACCTCAGCTCTAACTTTTATAGAATCGTAGCCTCAACATACTCCGTAATCTTATTTTTTCTACCTTGTGGTATGCTTCCCAGTTAAGGGGTACATGTAAGGGGCATTTTTATAAGCCTGTTTCGCTGTTTTCACATAGAGAGACCCATTCTCAGGGTCCTCTCGTCTTTTATCTCTCTCTTGTAATCTTACTTCAATTATATAACTGTTGCACTTTTCAAAAAAAAGTTCGGACATTTTGGTCAAAAGCTAATTGTATGGACAAATATTGTCCAAAACAATAATTTTTCAATATAAATAAGGGCATGAATGGGCTAAGAGAGTCATTCATGTATTCCTCTTTAAGAAAATAAAGACTTTGTCTTGTAAGAAGCCTAAGGCTTGAGCCATAGTAGGAGAAAGCTTTAGGATTTCCAAAATTGCTTGTGTCAAGGTGCTTATTGCTGATTTTCTATGTTTCTTCAAGTTCTCCTACATCAATCTTGTAGTATCATATTTCGCATTAAGGCTTCCCAAAAGGTCAAATATTTTCTTTTGTTCCAACCTTTCTCTTAGCTCTTTCGTACAATAAAAACAACCATGAGCCGATAATGGTTCTATTCATCCCAAATACACACTTAAGCTCAACATAATAATCTCCAAGTAATAGATCTTTGTGCTTGAAGTTGATGATCCTTGCTTAATTGATATGTTACTACAACTCATGGATTTTTGTAATATTCTTCTCCTGCGAATAGGCTTCACAGTCACTGCAGCACATAGGGCTTTTGTAAGTATTGTTATTTATAATTATGAGACTCAAATTTAGCTGCATAGAGTTCAAATTCCAGTTGAAATACTAAATATCTTCGACTTACTAAACTGCATAAGATGGATCCTTAGCATCTGGTTTCACGAAGCAACCATCAATATGACCCATTTTTTCTTTCCTCAAGGAACAACCGAACAGAACTGGCCCACACCAAGTACTTTGTCACAATGAAATTGAACCGTACCACTGTAGTGATTTGAAGGCTGCAATGCTCCACAGCTCATGTTTTTAGTGCTTATTGCGCCATTGGTACTACTCCAAGCCAATAGATCAATCAATAAACAATGAAAGGCTGTTGCTGAAATCTGGCTATACCCTCAGATCTCACTCAATTTTTATAAGAACAGAATACAATACACAGTGCAAAAAGGCAATCGATTGTAGAATCGTGGCTGCACGAGTCACTGTCTGATGAACGTCAAATCCAAAAAAAATAGATCTGTATCGAATTTCTCATGAAAAACGACCAAGTGTGTGTAACTTGATTCATCATTGGATCATCCAACCAAACAGATCAAGAAAACCCTAAAGATTGGCATTCTTCATTTCTCATAAACAACGACCAAGTACGTGTAACTTGATGATCGTTGAATCATCTAACTAATCAAATCAAGAAAACCTTTAAAATTGGTGTCCTTGACAAAAACTCCAAATCAGTCCAAGAAAACCCAAGAAAATTGCACGTCTCCAAAAAACTGTAGACATATATATATTCTCACTACTATTTTCAAAGAGGAGATCCATTGGGATACTACTTAGTTCACATCATTAGACTGTCTGCTGACATCAGCAGTATGATTGGAATCTCACCAATTAACTTATATATATTGTCCTTTTCAGGACTACCCTTGCTCATACCAAGTTGACAAGACAATCTATATTTAGGTTCGAATTTATTCAGTTTAAAGTAAGCATAAAGACGAAGAAAAGGAAAGAGAGAAGAGGAAGAGAAGAGAAGATGTGAGAGAAGAGAAGAGAAGATAAGATGTGAGGGACAATAAGGGTAAAACCTGTAGATCAGTTTATTGTGTTAAACTAATCACCCATATATTATTGACATGGAACAAATGAATATACACCCATTAATTTTTATGAAACCAAATTATAAGCCTATCAAATAATGTTTTCCAAAATAATGTATTCCATTTATGCCCCAAATTAGATTAACAATATTTAAATGGCTTTTACATGTTTATTCTTTTTGCAGTTTTACATGTTTATTCATTCTTTCTACAGAGAACGCCAAGGGACTAGTTAGTTTGAAAGGTAAATGTACAACTTGGTAATAGCCTATGGGAAACGATAGTACCTTGGGTTCACCAACATCCACTATTACATGGCAGTGATAGAAGGAGAGTGGGCCAACCAGAACAGGACACAAGTCCAGTGAGTGGGTTACCCTATCTTTCCATCCACTGTCATTCGATGGTGATGATCCCAATTGAGAATGGCATTCCATAGTCCATTGAGTATATTATAGCTTCCCAAATTTAAACTATAAAATGGTATGGAAAGCAACAGATGCAGAAATGAATATCAGATATGCTCACCGATATTTTCTCAGATATTAGTTTTTGGACTGCAGCAGCTTTTAGTCCAATCTTCTGATTCAATGCACTTGAGAACTCATGATGAATCACCAAGAGCTCGAGAATGTCTCGTAGATATGGGTTGAGAAATCCTCCAAGCCTATCAACAAGTGCCTCTAGGGTAGCAAGAAAAGCAAGCAAAACTGATTCCGTATGTTTCAAAACTCCATCAAGCCCCTTATCAATGCCAACTTTATATTTTTCACAAAAGCAGCAGCAAACATTATGGGCCCTCTTCAATGCCTGCTCCATAATGCAAGAAAGCTCGGGTACAGCAGCAGGGCCTAGGGCATTTACAAAAGCACCCGTGGCCTTCAAACAGGCAGAAGAGACGGCCAAGTTATTAGAACCAATTTTCTTAGCCACCGAACCAAGACAAGAGGAAAAAATAGAGGGATTAGAGGAGAATTTGTTTGCTAAAGCTTCAAATGCAGAAGCGGCGGCAAGCTTTATTGGAATTGAGTCATCATCTAATGGCTCATCAATCAATTTTGTGATCTGTAAACACATTTCATTGAATGACTCCCAACCCCTTTCATCCATGCTTGCAAGGAAACTATGTGGCAGGTTCACTTTTCTTGAACGCCTAGGCTTCATCCCAGAAGCATAAGAATCCGTAAGAGACTCACATAACAGTACAAGAGCCTGCATGAAAATACATGCGTATAGTCAAGAAAAATGAAATGGAAGGTACCATTATAGCAGTTTTCTATATAGTACAATAGAAGGTACTTCTCAAAAAATATCATTAGAATCACACATGTTTTAATGAACTCGTTAAGAAGAAGTTTCGAAACAAAACTGCAGTCTTCATTTTCTCTATTGGTTCCACTATGTTCTGTCACAAAATCTAAAACCATTTTGCATAAGAGAAATCAAACCACGCAAACCCATGCCATGACCTGAGCTGGTCGAGCTCCACCCAACGGTAAATCAGCCACCCAACTCCTTCCCTCTACATATATAAGCAAACCCTCCATGCAGCACATCGCACGACACATGCCATCTCTCTCTCTCTCTCTCTCTCTCTCTCTCTCTCTCTAAGAGAGAGATTGCATGGACTGAAGCCAATTCACCAAAGAAGTAGCAATATTATTATATTTCTAGAAACAGAGCCAGTTTAATGATATTTTGAGAACCAATGCTCATCTTACATATATTTTTTTCCAAGACAAACCCAACCGAGCTGCCTCACACTGATGATCAGGTTAGCCTGACGGGCCAGTTACCTTATGTTGCACATTTTCATCTGTGCGTTTGAGCAACAGGACTATGCCTCTAAAATATGCTGAGGGCACCATGCACTTAGCGAGGGTCCTCAGTAAATGAAGAGCAGATTCCCTTAACACCTTCTGCATATCAGTAGGAACATAGAGTGACTTGTTTTGGGTATCAACCATCTGCAGTTGTGAGACTACCTGCTCCATGAGCTCTCCCAATGTTCCCTGAAAAATACAATACGTCATGCAAATTCACATTTTCTGGATGGGTGATGCATACCGCAAAGCATGTAGAAAACTCTGAACTACAGTGTAGATGACACAAATTTTGAGATGGAAACATATTAACCCACAGAATGTTTAACTTCAGGATGACACTAGATGAATAATTTATAAGAGTCTGCCTACGTTTAAAGGTTCCACTTGCAAGGTATCACCATTACATTATGTGGATTTATATTATTATAAAGCAAATAGTGATGAGAATTTCTAAAAACAAACCCTCTGTTTCTCCATGCAGACTGACCATCCAGAGTAGAATGAATTGTCAAATAGTGACTAAACCCCACAAATATGAAATGAATATGATTGCTCTAACAATGTGAAGAACATTCCCTTGAGAAGCATCATTTTCTCATAACATTAAGCTTGGAAACCAGTAAGAAGGCTGATATTTTCCATCCATGACTAAATCCTAAAGCATCATCAAAAGCAGTTCAGTTCAGCACTGAATTATTTGCAACCATAAAGCTGCCATTCCTCTTAACAAGGACAAGTGCTTTTAAAAAAAGCAAAAAAAGAAAAAATCTTAAATCTGAATAAAACGAACATTCAAGACATTGTCAGTTGTAAATACATAGGAATGGCCCATAGGTGAACTAGGGATGCATAATCCATATGATGGACACCTAATGACCTTGAACTACTAAGCCTAAACCACCAGATAAAATAACCTTCCAGTGCCCTTGTTAGCCATTGCCATTATTTTTATTGGGATTGTATACCAGGAGACCATTTTTTTTAATACAAGGAGGTCAAATCACTTTTAGCCATTGCATGTGAAATCCAATAGATGAAAGTGTCACAAGATTCGATAAATTTGTTTTGGACTTTGTGCCTAAACAATGACACATCATCAACCACCCCATTAACGACCAATGATGATTGTGACCTCTTTGTATCAAAAGTAAATGGTCTCATTGTATACATTTCCTTCTATATTTTGTGTTTGCCCATGTGTTTGTGCCTTTTTTTTTGGGGGTGGTAATTTTGAAGGGAAGGGGTGCCCTACTCATGAAAGGAAAGGAACTTAGGACGTCACATTATAGCACCCACCACCTAGACCACCTAACCTTAAGCTCATTCATGTGTACGTACCCATGTGTTCGAATGTTGAAAGAGTATTTACCTGCACAACATCAATATCCTGCCCAGACTTGAGTACAAACGCCAATTCACCGACTTCTAGTTTGTGTGCAATGAACTGCATAGCAACACATATTTCTACAACTCGTTGAAATGACCAAAGACCCTCCCCCAATAGTTGGAGCAACACAACCAAAGATGGAAGCCATATTGTGCATGAATACTGCTCATACAGTTGGACTGCAAATAAGTACTCCCACTCAAGGTGGAGCACCAAAGTCTGAAATGACTCGATGCTTCTCTCATTTTCCTGATTAGAGGATCCAAGGGTCCGGAGAACCAATGAATCGAAAAGAAGAACAAGCAATGAAGCCAAACTTCCTTTTTCACCCAAAGCTCTGCATATAAAGTCAAACCCTCTTAGATTAAAGACAAAAAAATCAAATATTTAAAGGCTTTTGGCCTCTTTTTTACCTCAATAGCAATGTCATTAGTGGCAACCGTCTTTGATCAGAAAGCTTGGGCAGAATGCCAACAAATATCTGTTAAGTGGCACCAAAATCAGTCAAAGAGTGAAGCATTCATTAAGTATCATAACAGTGTGGTGAAACAAGTAGATAACTCAGCCTAAATTCTCTGTTTCATAACTAAGTTACAATAAGCTCATTTCTAATAATGTCTGTTTTCTAAGCTCATTAATTACTATGTTACCTTAAGAAGATCGTCTGTCTTTTGCATTTTAGTGAGCCAGCATGGAACTACTGTGGATATCAGCTGCTCAAACACCTTCTGAGAATGGCTGTCATCCTATATCAGAATATGGAAGAATTTTCTATCAGTACATGGTTACATAAAATGCCAGTTATACAAGCCAAAAAAACTATTGCCCCTTTGAAAAGCCTGCGTTAATAATTAAAGAGAAATTTATGTACGGACAAAGTTTAGGAAGCTTTATTACCATTTGATAACATTTTTTCCATAAATTACGAAGACCACCCTGCTATTTTTTTTCCCTTAATTGCCCTCCTGTCCGGGAACAACAATACCGGACAGGAGCCTATTCTCTCCGCAAAAATTGTGAACCAGAAAAAACACTAATCGACTTTCTCTTGTTGACCATCAATCTCATAGTCATAGCTGGGTTGTAAGGTGAACCTCTCCTTCTCATTGGTGTACCTCTTCAATTCTCCCTCTACCGATCCTTTACTTATCTCTCTTTGCTGTTGTGTGGGATTGGCACTGAAAAGAGGAGAAGGGAAGAGAGAGAAAAGCATCATGGATGCCCCTCTAGCTAACCATGACTCTGATTGATTCATGCTGCTGCTGCTGAGTAACAACAATAAGATGGGAAGCAATACATTGGTTTTTTAGAATGAGTTCAGAAAATGGGGAGAAAGGTTTTGGTGGTGTGGGAATGAAGAGAGAGACAAAGAGGATGTTAAGATTGCCCATCCTTGTACACCCATCCTTCAACACAAACCCCAGTCACTCCCCTTGGATCAAGGTCTCTTTCTCTAAAGTTAAAACTCGAATTGGAGAAGAAGCATTTGAAAGATTTGCTTGCAGAGTTTCTTGGCCAGATGATCAAAAGGATAAATGGCTTAAACTGAAAAACAATGGCGTGGGGATTGGAGAATATGCCACCTGAGTTTCTTAGCCACTTTCTAGAGAAAGTAATCAGGCAACGCACGAAATTGCAAATGGTTCAAAGATTCAATCATGGTTTGCTCATTTTCTCCATTGAAACGGTTTATCAATTTTTCGAACTTTGGTGTCTTGAACAGAGAGCTTTAGAGCTCGATTTCTACTGCACTTGAACATGATGTTTTCCTTGATGGGACAAAGCATTTCCTTCATCACCAATTTCCGGATTGTATCCAGATCCGGCAAAAGAACAGCCGGATTTTGTTGCAGAGGCTGCTGGAAAATATGGGGATTTCACAAGCCAAAAAAAAAGAGTACAAAATTTAGCAAAAGAGATGGCGAATCCTTTGTTTTAATGGGTCGGCAATATCATTGTTGGTTTTTTTTTTTTTTTTTTTTGCGTTTAGAGAGAGAAGCCATGCTGCTCAATTTTTGCCGAAGGAACAAGCTCCTGTCCGGCATTGTTACTCCCGGAATAGGAGGGCAACTTGGGAAGAAAAACAAGGCTGGGGTGATCCTTGTAATTTATAAGAAACATGTCTTTTAATGGTAATAAAGCTCCTCAAACTATGTCAGTACGTAAATTGCTCATAATTAAACTTTCCAGGAATGGGGTTGAGGTCAAGTGGTAGCACCACCTATGACTCAGCTTATCAATCTCGGTTTCCATTCCTACCAATGCTAACCCCTTTCAAAAAGTACTAACGGTTTCAAAAGAATTGCTAACCCACTACTAATGTTCAAAAATAATGGGAAAAAAGAAGAAGAAAATCCTATTGGATACTTCCCTTGATTTATCGATAAGGATTACAACTAACAAATACCGGTCACCATCAAACATTGTTAACTAACTAGTATTTATTGAATAATATATAAAAGAAACGAAATAACCATGCAAACGATGTTGGAAAGTCAGAAAAAGAATATAACACCAATTAGGTAAATCTAGGTTAAGAGGGGATTGAGAGAATCCCCATACAACAGCTTATAGCAGTTCGGTGGAGTCAGACGTTTCTGTAGAGATATTTCTTCAAAGCTTTTCATGGCATCAGGAGCGAGAATGGTGCAACGCGCGCATTCTCATTCTTGTGTTGAAGTTCATGTGGTTGCAGAAACTCTATACTCGATAAATTTAAGCTATAATAGCTATTGAGAAGATGATAAAACAAAGGCAATATTGTCTTAATAACAAATATTTAAGGTTGGGGCAACATAACAAACCTGTATGACAGAAGTTTCACCCATTGTGGTAAATATATCAATGATCTGATTTAGTAGTACACGATCAGGTATGGACTTCACAACAGTAGATATCAAGGAAAAGATATGGTTACGAGTCATAGGATCCTTTGCAGCATACACATATTCAATCAACATATCCACACCATATTGCTCAAGTATTTCATCCTGCCAAAGAAGCATTTAAAGTGAGAAATCCAGCAAAAGCATAAAAAGTATCCTGGAATCTTGACGAAGATAATAACTCTAGATTTCAGTGGCGGAAGTCAAGAATTTGTACCCTTTCAGGAACATCTCTTAAGACTGAAGCACCAATGTCCTCAAGAATTGATATTGATGTTTGCAGAATGAAATGCACTGCACCAGTTGAAGCTTCATGGTTGATTTCATCTTCATCAAGGCACCCAGTAAGCCAGCCATCCTTGAGGATTTTGTGGATAAGACAGAAGAGGGGCTCCACAAGAGGCCCTCTAAGGCATTCAAAGTTTCAAACTCAATGCAGTTAGCAGTTATACTTAATCAGAAAGGAAATGGAAAGAAAGTACAGGCATAACCGACATATGGATAGGATGTAAGGCATGAAGTCTACCTGTTCTCGATATCCTTCTTCAATAAAATGACATCAAGCAGGGCACCTATGACAGAAGGCAGCTTTCCTTCATGAATGAAGGAGTCAAAGTCGATTATTGGTGTCCCAGGCTTTTGAATTTTGCAAACACGGTTTACAGGACCATTGACTTGCCTAAGATCTTGAACAAGAATTAACTGTAGATGTCGACCAATAGTGGAGCCACTAATCTACCAAGATAAAAAAGAAAAAGAAAAAAAGAAATTTTAAGTATAATTATGCAGAACATGGCATCTGAAATCCTAAACTCATAATGGCAAGAACTAAAGGAAAAATAGTGACTCCCGTTATTCAAAAAATACCCCAATATGACATTAACCTGTCAAACCCCCCAAAAGATAAGATGCTCAACGCAAAAATAGAACATTGTCATTTGATTCAGTATTGCTCAAGAATAAGGACCAAAACAAATCTAAAAAGCAATAACCCATGATAATCTAAATCACTTCTATAAGAATGTCTTGTAATCACTTTTTTTTTATTAGCAATGAGTTTTTTCAAGATGTCCATATCGTTGAGGTGTGTGGCCTTCAAAGGCCTGGAGAGCATGTAAAACTCATGATCATAGTGAACACATTCAAGTGGAAGTGTAGTCCACGTGGGACTAGAGAGGCATGCTTCGTAATGCCTGTTCACTCAACCCGGGTTGAGCGGTCTAGGCTTGAGGAAAAATCCAAAAACCCTTACCCCGGGCATATGGCACATCCGGATAAAGTTTTATTGTATTGTAATTCCTTGTCAAGGTCAGAGAAATGCCCAACAATGTCTCAAGCCAGGAGGCTAGTGGTTTCCTACGTGCGATAAGAGGCTTGCAGGGCAAAGGCCAAATCCTCAACAACCACTGCATGGTATGTATACATGATAGCCACAATTGGGGAAGCGACACGAGAGGGTACGTTTGCATGTGATGAAGAGAGGATCCCCTGCACTATTGCGACTTCATAAGACACGAGAGGGTACGTTTGCACAAGAGGGTACATTTGGCGAACCCATGGCAGCGAGGAGCTGTAAAAGGGGGATTTTTGTGGACCCGTACCATGATCCCAGAGATGAGAGAATTCAGGAACTTGAAAGGCAACTTCAACATCTGATGCAACAATTTGCGAGCCTCAATAATGGGCAAGATGATGATCTTTCAGCCCAAGAGGATCTAAAGTACAAGCCTTTAGACTTTCGCGTTCTGTGTGGGAAGTCAAGTGATGAAGATAGTGATAGAAGACCTAGATGTTGGGAACATAACTCTAGGATTTTCAATTTGAAAGATGATATTTTTTATTTTAACATAGATTGCATTGAAAATCAGCAAGTTGTAGATTGGGATTCACCACCAATCTTCGATATATACTCCGATGAACAACATGAGTGTTCAGGTGATCCAATCTATGATAAGGATCAAGATGATGATCAAGATAATGATGATGAAATTTTGGAAGAGAAGAATATGGAGAGAAAGTTGAAAGATGACTGATCCAAATCATGGCCTCTAAAGATCTGATTACTATCGGAGAGATAGGGCATGGGCATTCAAAAAAGTTAAGGTATAGGAATCAGACTAGCGCAGATGAAATAGGGTACACTCATAAACCGCAAATTGTGGGCCTGATTTCAGCAAATAATGAAATAGATGTCGAGAAAACCTCTAAAGGCTAGAAAATTGAGTTTGGAGTATCTTATATGAATAGCCGAATTTGATAAATTTGCATCGATTGCTCAACATGCATATTAGGATTCGTTTCTTGAGGAATTATTTTTATCACAAATAATCTTTGAGCCAACAAAGAAGAACGTTGAAGAAGATGGCTTTAATGCTGAATTTATTTTAGCACACTTCAAAACTTGAGGACGAGTTTTCTCCAAACAAGGGAGAATGATGGAGGGCAAAATTATTGTTTATTATAGTTTTACTTTTAGGGTTAATTTCTAGCTGTTTTTTAGTTTTTTAGGGATTCTAGAGTTTTTATTTTTTATTTACTTCATGAATACTATTCACAATTACTGTTCACGAGTACTATTGATAGGGGCAAAAGTGTCATCACGAATTTTAAGTTTAAGGTAGGATATATGGGTCAATGTATTATTTTTGGACACTATTTATACTTGGAACATTGAATTATAATATCTAAGAGGTGTGTGGGGCCTTGAGAGAGTCATTCCACATGATTTTTAAAAATTGAAAGAGAAAAAAGCTTAGGCTTTTGGAACTAGATTGGGTTATGGAGAAGAAATCCTAGGTTGGTTTGAATTATGATTGTGTTTGGCTTTGTTTTTTTCTTATTTTACTATTTCCTCAAATTTTTCTACATGACATCTCTAACTTCCTGACTTGAAGAATAAATCCTAAAGGTACATGCTCTTTCCTCTCCTACTGATATCTGAGAAAACGGCTAAGGGAGCAGAATCCACATGATCTCCCCTCCTACACCCAAGAACAATCAAGCATCACAACCTTGGAGGAGGCCCCATTCATGCACAACTACAAATATTTCCCCCCAAAAAAAATGTCTCAACATAAAGGTGAAATCCCAAGTCATGCATGAAATGTTGCCCCCCAACAAGAATGTCTCAATATAAAGGCTAAATCCCAAGTCATGCATGGTGAACAAGCTCAAATTTCCATACAACATATATAACCATGGGTTATTCTTTTCTTTTGTTTTCTCCTCGTTTTAAGTAACATAAATATCATATGAATTAAGAACATAAAGTGCATCTTAGATATGCATCCATGATGTATCAGTTTACAATAACTATAGAACATGTTGACAACAGCTAAGACAGCAATGGTTCCAAAATATATGATGCACAACAAGATGCCTTTTATTTCATCATTGTACTTATTAAATTTAAGGAAGGCCCGAAAGGAGATGGATAGAAGTAGCGAGCAGAGATATGCTGATTGAGGGATATGGCTCTTTATAGAGCAGAATAGCGAAACAAGATGTGTAGCCGACCTCAAATAGTGGGGATAATGCTCCAATGATGATGATGAAAATTTAGGGATGTGTTTTTTTAATTTTCAGGTTATTTTTATAGTCTTTTTAAGGATTTTAATTTTTTCCGTTTTTTTTTTTTTTTTTTTAGGTATTTTAGTGGAAGAGATAATGTAATCAGTTCTTCTGCAGCACAAGTAAGACTAAAGGATAGAATTAAGAGACAATTTCGGGAGGACTTTAACAGACTAGCCCAAGACATACCAAAAGAAAAGAGGACCTTTTTAGGAGGAAGACTTATATGGTCATGTAGGAACGATGGCAGAAGATATGAAGGGGTACATGGGGGAATATGGGTTTGGTGAAAGAAATGAGATGGGTGAGACTATCTAGATTTTATTATGGCCTATGACCTAGCAATAGCAAACAATTATTTTAAAAAGTAAGATCACTTAATTTAAAAAGCGACAACAACATTTAATAATCTATAAATGTAGATCATATAAAAGTCAAATAGACTTCTTCTTAGTTAAGAAGGTAGATAGAACATCATGTAAAGACTATAAGGTTATCCCAGGGGAGAGTTTGACTACACAACATAGGCTCACGGTTATAGACATTCGCATAAATAGATAGTAGAGAAAGATAAAATTAATACGTGTCCAAGAACTAGGTGATGGAATTTCAAAAGTGAGAAAATAGATGAATTTAAAGATAAATTAGTTACAGACAGTGTTTCAAAAAGCGCTAGGCGGCCTAAGGGGTCCAGGCTGCCCAACGCCTAGGCAGGCGCACAGGCTGGTGCTCAGTTGAAATAAAAATGGACTCAATAGTCTCTAACAGTATATATATTGTATAAAATAAAAGAATTAGGTATTTAGGACATCAAAATTTAAAAGTATACTACACAGTAGCACGCACTCCATAAGCATAACCATAAGTCGGTCCATATCCAATTAAACCTTAAAACTTACCAACCAAATTACCAAACCAAAGTTACCAAATAAGTAAATACCAAACCGGTGGAACTACAAATCCACTATCCACAATACACAACCAAGAGGAAGAAAACAAAAATGAAAGTAGTATTCAACGACTCAAAATAATCTGCAATGAATGTTCAAAGTTAAATTCATCATTCATTAATCATCATTCGTCATCAGAAAAAGTAGGGTCAGCTGCATTTGCATCATATGCATTGAAGTCCTCACCCACCTCGACATATTGGTTGTCCTCCTCCGCCTCTTCTGAATCTGCCTCTTCCACCTCCTCTTCCTCTTCCTCCACCCTCACCCTCTGTGCAGAAGATCCAGTGGCCCTAGGAGGGTCAGCCGATGTCCCTGAAACATCCATGACCATGTCCCATGTCAATCATTCATGCCATTCGACCTCATCATCATCAACCAACCACTCCATAGCATTGTCCATATTTTTTGATCTAAGGGGGTCTCTCTTGAACCGGTTTATCCCCCTTTTGTATCATTCTCACAAAACTTGCATCTTAACCAATCTTTATCATTAGGATCTGGGTTGTAGCCATATTTCCAACTGGGATCACCACTCCTATTAGATCCCGAAGAAGACATCTCAAAATAATACAACTTATACAAGCAATACAAAAAATCACTTACTTTGATTGCTCAATCTCCAAACTTCCACCGCAAAGATGCTTCTAAGGACTCAAAATCTTCTAAAAACCCCTCCAATAGATTTATAAAACATCACAAACTAAATCTAATATCAATGGGTGATGTTTTGATCAATTTCTCATATCTTTGAGAAATCCTTTGGTCCTAGTTTTTTGAGGGTTTTCTCTCTCTAAAATGGGCTCTAATGAGTTTTAAGTTTCAAATTAACCTAAAACCAATAGTTTTGGCCCCTTAGTATAAAACAAAATGACACAAAATGCCCCTACTAAGTGGCTTTTCCGCCTCTGGGCGGTGCACAGTCCTTGGGCGGCTGCCTAGGTCTAGGCACTGAGCGGCTACTTAGGCAGGTTCCTGGGCACCTAGACGGGCGCCCAGGGTTTTCCGCCTGTTTTTGGCACCTAGGCCTGGTCAATGCGCCAAGGCCCCTGGATTGCCAAAGCGGCCTCCCTGGCACTGGGCTGCCCCCTTTTTGAAAACACTAGTTAAAGAAAGAAAATAGAACTCTGAACATAAGGTCAATATTATGTGGAATGAGCAAAAATTCGCCCACCCGACCACCTTGACGGGCGATTAGGCGGAAAGTTTAAAAAATCGACTAGGCACTAACAACGTGGGATCATAAGGCGTCCTGTGTCTAGGTGCATGCCTAGGCGGGAGGGGGGTCACCTCGGGACAAGTTGTGAAAGGAAGGAAAATGGGTCTCAGCGAGGTCAAAAACGAAATTTTCCCCCATAAAAATTGGGGAAAAGGGTTTTGGAGGAAATTCTAAACCCCATAAACAAAAACGATGGCTTTTAAGGTGAGAAAAACTCCTTAAAAACCACTCTCCCCAGAATCTTTTGAGATTTATTGAAAGAAGAATAAATTTTTGTTTTTTTTTTCGATTTCTTCCCAAAACAAAGGCAATAGTTCGTAGGTGGATTTGGAGCTTGTAATAGTTGATTTTGAGGACTTTTATCAGCTTAATAGAAGAGGTTTGCAATAACATCAATTTGACTTTGATATTTTAAAAAAATTATCATATTTGAAAGAGGGTTTTGATTTTATTTTGCTATAATATATTATGTTGTGAATCCCGCGTTTTTTCTTTTACTTTTTTTTTTTACGATATATTTACCTGTTTTTAGGTAAAAGATTAATATTTTTTTGTGATTAGTTGAATTTTTTGCATTTGGTCAATAAAAGTGAGCATATATCATTCTTTTATGAATAGTTGATTACAATGTATCATGTTTTGATATTCTATTATTTTTGTTTTGCTTTATTTGATAAATAATTGATTATGTATTTGTGTGATATCTTAATGAATTAAGTCTTATGTGAAAGTGAAACTAAGATCTTATATATTCATTGCAGTCTTACTGTAAAGTAATATTAAGTCATACCTCATATTGTTTTGAAACTAACATCTTACTGAAATATCTTAATTCTTAAATTATTAATTATATGATATCTTAATGTGTAAAGTCTTATTGTAAAACCAACATTGTAAAACCTACACGGCTAGGCCCCCAAAACGCCTAGGTGATCGAATCCACATTTTTGAACACTGGGAATGAGATAACCAATTATATTAAGAAAGTGGCAAAAGGAGTTTTACGAAAAACTAGAGGGAAATGAAATCTCAATAAAGAAATTTGGTACTAGAGTGGTGAGGGTTAGAACCCCACTAGCGAAAAAAGATTTCATAAGACTTGGCAATGTAATAGGAAAACGCTAAACAAATAGTAAGGGTAAACTTAAGGCCTATGATAATCCATACAATACATTGAGAACAAGAAAAGGTGAAAAAGATGTATTCAATTTAGTAAAAATGAGAGAAAAATGTATGAATCTAGACCACATTAAATGCATTAAGAGTGAGGATTAAAGGGCCTTAGAGAAGGATGAAGAGGTCAATGAAAGGTGGACAATTTATTTTGAAAAGTCATTAAATGACAGAGTGGAGTCACTTTATCCATGTGTAAAAATGACAGAGAGGAGTCACTTTATCCATGTGTAAAAATGACAGAGCGGAATCACTTTATCCATGTGTAATGGCAGCTTGCCACCGTCCCCCTCGCCTCTTCTCCTGGAACAAGATCTACGACTTGTATCCCAAGACCCAACTCCTGCACCTCCACTCTAAGCCTCTCCCACATCCGGGCCGCAACCATTAAGCCTCTTTCGCGCAGGTTGCTGCTTGTTTCAAAGCCCCTACTTCCGCTCCCTCAACCTTTACCAAATCTGCACGCCTAGACCCAGGCAGCCCTACACAGGCAGGCGCCTAGCCGAGCGCTCAAGGCCATAAGGCCTTTTTTATTTTTTTAAACCACCCCAAAGGGCAAAGGGGGTCATTTTGACCCCAAGGTTGTATAAAAACGTTATGGGGTTTTTTTAACCCGCAAAGTCAAAAAAAAAAAAAGAAAAAATGCTCAATATATGAAACCCCCAAAGTGAAAAAACTACAGGGCGCCCGAGATGCTGGGTGCCAGGTAGGCCGCCTTAGGGCTGCCTAGCATTTTTTGAAACCTCGTGAAAGACTCAAAAAAGGTAAAAAGTATGCCCAAAAGGACACGATTGGAAGTAGTGAGAAAACATACGGGGACTTATAGCCTCAGTAAAGGTATGCCCTAGATAGAATAGAATGGCAGACCAAGATTCGTGTAGCCAACTCCAAATTGTTGGGAAAAGGCTCCGATGATGATGATAAGGAGGAGATGTTTAGAGTAGTAGTTAGAGTGCTTATGAAATATTTTATTTTATCAGGTGTCTCCTATTTCGATTAGAATTAGGATTTCTTATGCTCTAAGTAAGGCCTTTTTTAATAAATATGAACCTATATAAATAATTTAGAATAGAAAGTTGAGTTTTGAGATCTTGTTTATGGTTTAACCAGTGCACAACCGTTGAAGCCTGGTATGTATAATTCTTTTGTAATTTCCAATCAATAGATTACTGGATTTTCTTCCATGCGGAATCCTTAATATATCAATACATTGTGGGACTAAAAGTCATCTGATCAATAGATTAACACTATACTTAAGTGCATGCGCATACATTTAAATTCATTTCACAAATATTTGGAAAAGGTAGCCTTAGTTACAAGCCACACATAATTGCTATACACAGAGTTAAAGGCTAATATTTTCTCCAAAACGAAATGCAAAAAACCAATGAGGTAAAAGGAAGAGCTTGTCACAAACATGAATTCGAAGAAGGGCATCTCGAGCTGCATTGTGTATAGCACCTATGTCACTTCGAAACAAGACAACCAGGTTCCAAAATAGCTGATCCTGTTGCAACAGAAAAAAAACATGGATGAGAATCTTCTGAACAACTATTAAATGATACCAATGTTTCTCTTATCTAGTGGGCTAAGTTATCCACGCCTGCCATTATCTAGAATCCAGATCCCCTAAGATTCATTTGATATGGAGGTAAACGATACTCCAAATATGTGTAACTGACATTACAACAGAAGAAAATAAAATGTGCTAGATCACAGATCTAACTCATAAACAAGAGCAGTACGTGCCGCAATTGCAACAGGTGCAACTCAATGTACCATTGGATATTTATATACCACTATAAATGAAAACACAAAAATATATATACCATGGGATCTTTATATATTACATTTCAAAAGCTTAAGTTAGCTCATGAGATGAGTCTCTGCTAATGCCAGTAGTCATAACCAGTTCAATGAATTCTCATAGGATCTTATCGGTATTATGGTTTCATAGCATACATGATATGCACCTCGAAAAAGACATATATGACATGAATTTCATATGCAAACAACAAGGTCAGCAGATGAAAGCCTTTAATGACAAAAACATCTAATGCAATCTCCAGAATATAACACAATTCTGAAATTCTTGCAACGCATCATGATGAATGCTTTGAAATTATAAGAAGATCCATCACAATTGGACTACAGATGCCATGTTACCAGCCATAGAGTCATTTGCAAGCCCACCAAATTTTTTAGAAAAGCTGATACTTGGCTGGGTATGTCTTAAATCTAAATCTTTATTTTTAATTTAAAAACCTCGGCACACACAAGCTAGGTCAATTCAGGCAAGTTTCAAGTCTATTGTCAAGCTTCTAAATAATGACCCTCACGACAAGGTGATCCTCATTCTACATAACAAATCAGAAAATGCTCATTCAGATATTTCAAATATCAACTCATAAGAGCTCACAATGTTTCATTATGATGCAGACCAGAGTATTAAAACATATGCACGTCACAAACCATCAGATTCTGAAATCAGCTCACCTGTAACCTTGTCTCCAGGTTATCATAGAGGGCTTGAGACAAGTTTTGCAGGACTGTAGCACATGGCCTCACAATGAAAATGTGCTCAGAAGTAACATTATCCAGCTGAAAATTTGCTATAAAGTTAGATCCATCAGACATAAACAACTTTAGCATGTTAGCTTATGGAAAGGGAAATTCTGTGGTGCACTTATCTAAAAGAACAGAAAAAGAAAGAACTAAAACATCCATGGCATAAAATAAATCAAAATTCATAGAAAATGTAACTTACTCTTAAAGCTTCAAAAAAATAACCTCTAACAGTGTCCTCTGTTGTCGAGGAGCTCATGAGGGAAGTATAATTCTGCGACCACCGAAACAGATTAAGATTCAACAGCAAGCACAAAATATAAAAGAGCACACATGTGAAAATATTTTTATAAAGATCACAAAGGACAAGTTTGTTAAGTTTACCTTCAACAGTAAGCATAAAATATCAACTTCAATATGTGAGAGCTCGAGATTTCGCCTATTCAAAAGTTCCACCAACAGGGTCTCTGTGTGTTCATGATACACTGAGTGCCCCACTCCTTGGAGCATGGACAGGACAATAAACTACAAAGGCAGGAGCAATGCAAAAAAAAAAAAACACAGATATAGCTTATAATTAGTAAATAAGAAGTATGATACAAATTCAGGGATAAAAAAAAGGCACAGCCCCTAAAGTGCTTCAATCCTTCACCAATGTAGTTTTCTACATGAGCAGAAAGAAAGAAATCACTCGGCTACATAAGATAAATAATCATAAAATTAGAAAAAGAAATTATCCCTGACAACAAAAGCATTTCACAGATGATAGTGTAACAGGTCAAGGAAGCAAATTGGAACAGAGGTGGCATTCTGAAGACCCAAGATTTACCTTCCCATATGACGGAAGTTTGAGCCCGGACTTCAAAATGAAAAGCAGGATAGCTTCCTTCGAACTCCTGTCAAACCTGTAAAAGGCCTCAAGTTAGATTTCATTATTAAAACCAAAAGAAACCAACTAACGGAATGCCAATGTAATCATAAAGCAATCAGCATATATAATTAAAGAATTTACATGGAGAAAGAAGATCTTTAGAACTAAGGAAAGGAGAAAGCATGCAATAATATTCAAGAAAAGTGGATCCAGTCACCTAGGAGACCAGGGGATCTTGGCCGCCCAGGTTTCCAGGCAGCCAAAAGAGGGAAAGAGAAAAGGGGAGAAGAGAAGGAGGACAAGAGGGGGAGGGGGGTTGTTGCTGTTTTGTTTGGGGGTGTTATACAGGGTTCGTGTTCATGCAATATGTTCTTCCTAAAGAAAGAGATCGACAACCACCAATCATGCATATGCATGGGGAATCGACCAAGGCCAGCTGGTCATGCATAAAACATTATTCCCATCTCTTTTCCAAATATTATTATGTCCATTCAAAATATTGCATTTTTAATAGATTAATGGGACTCTACACAAATGTCCAAGCCCCCAAGCGTTCTTCCATTTAAAGAGAGAGATGGACATCCATCAATGATATGCATAGGGAATTGAGCAAGGCTAGCTGCTCATACATAAATCATTTCTCATCCCTTTCAAAATATATTATTTTTAAATAAATTAATGTGACCCCTTGTAAACATGTGTCCATGCAACCATTGCTTCTTCTTCTTCTATTTCAAGAGGGAGACATGGACATCCAACAAGCATGCAAATGGAAGGGGACTCAAGAAAGGCTAGATGGTCTTCATAAATCATTATTCACATCTTATTTCAAAGACTACTCTTAATGGGGACCTTTGTACACATGTGACCATTCACCATGAGTTCTTCTTTTACTTTTTTTAAGAGAGTGGATTGGGCAGGCTAGTGCACCTCGCTAGAGTCCACCTAGGCGCCGGCCTAGGGGAATGGCGATGCCTAGGCACATGGCCGCTATGGTGACACCGAGGACCCTGCAGTTTGCTGGCCTGCCAGAACCGCCTAGGTGGCAGCTAATTTTTGAACACTTTATGTGACTACCACAGTTCTATTAGCATGTAATTACCAAAGTCCCTTTTTTTTTTGGGACACTATCCACCACATTCATGCTTTTCCATGGTTCTCTTTTTGTCCTTAATTTATTTATATATTTATATATTTTAAGTTGGAGGAAGCGAAGTCCCTCGCTAGTGTCCACCTAGGAGCCGGCCTAGGGGAATGGCGACGCCTAGGGGAATGGCGACGCCTAGGCACATGGCCGCTATGGTGACACCGAGGCCCCTGCAGTTTGCTGGCCTGCCTGAACCACCTAGGCGGCAGCTAATTTTTGAACACTTCATGTGATTACCACAGTGCTATTAGCATGTAATTACCAAAGTCCCTTTTTTTTTGGGACACTATCCACCACATTCATGCTTTTCTATAGTTCTCTTTTTGTCCTTAATTTATTTATTTATTTATATATTTTAAGTTGGAGGAAGGGAAGTCCCTCAGAATACCACTGGAAGTGAAAACTAACTCCATCTGCCAAAAGCTTATATGGCTAGGCACAAGTACTTGAGCAGAGACGAAGGTAACCCACCAGACTGCGTGCAGGTTCAAATGTTCGACAATTAATTTTCTTTCACAAAATGTTTGAGAAAGAAGATGCTGAAATTGCGAACCTGGAATTCCCTCTTGCATTTCTCACCCATAGGATGTAGTTCCTATCTCCTTTTGAGTGTTTCCTTTGACAATCAGATCCCTGCCACTCCTAGCCAATTACAGGGCAAATAATTTATTGGCACTAACCTCAGCAAAGGCAGGGTAGTATTAGGTCCAAACAATGGTTAACAATCTATAAAGAACATCACATCAAAACCAATAGGCCCCATCTTAATAATCAGATTGTCCCTTCCAAAGCCACTGTAAGTCAAATGAAAGCAGAGATTCATCAAATAAAGCAGAGAGGAAATTACCACCAAGTTCCCTAGAAATAATAACTTCAGTAAGGATATCACATCAAAACCCATAGTTCCCCCCTTAATAATAAGACTTGTCTCTTCTAAATCCATTCAAAGTCAAATGAAAGCAAAGATGCATCAAAAAGAGCAATGAGGAAACTACCACCAAGTTCCTGGAAATAATAACCCCAGTAAGGACCCATGCCACTTGAAGGATTTGAAGGATTACAGACCATACTTTGTCATATTGGAAAAATGAGAAAGATAATAAGAAAGGAATTTCATCATAACATGGGTAAGAAAAGAGATGCAGAAAACAATAAACTAGAAAAATATAAATATAAAATTAAAGGATGAGAGATTATACCCTCTTAGGACCTGCAAGGGAGTGCACCCCAGCATCTTGTGAAAAGATCAAACTCTTTTTTTATTCTCCAATAACCATTTTTAAAAATAAGAGACCTCTTCCTTGTAAAAGCAAACTAAAAGAAATAATTAATAAAAGTAAAATAAGAATAAAAAACTCAACTCTATCTCTCCCTTATCTCTGAAAAACAAGTCTTAACATATCCTAACCATCGCAACCATGCTAATCCCTATTCATATCCATCTTATTAAAAAAACTAAGCATCTAATTCTACCCCATAAATCTCTACAACTAAAAAAGAAAAAACAACCCTAAAGAAAACTAAAAATCCAAATAACATATTTTTTGAGTTCTAGAAAGATATATAAATGAAAAATTCATCAAATATGTTGTGCTTATCTTGAAGTAGAACAATGGGATATCGAGCTCAATCTTGATTTCTTTGTCAAGTTCCTCATAAAACTCAAGAAGATTGAGCTGAATACTAAGATCATGTGGATGCTTCTCAAATCGTGGTTCTTGCATCACAATGTGATCATTACATTCAAGATATGCACTTCTAGTCAGTAGAGGGCCTCAATTCATCTCTACAGCGAATCTGGTGTCGGATCTTCATGGTTGCAAACACCCTCTCCTCGAATAATAGTATTCTCCAACCGTTGCAACTACTGATTCATTTCACGAACCTCACTTCGAACATCATTCATGACTTTGATTAGATTTTCTAAAATTTGTCCTATGCAACCATCCATAGTAGAATTAGCTTTCGATGGCATTGCAATGGCTGGATTTTCTTTGCTCTAATACTAACAAATGTAGAAAAAAATAAACCAGAAAATAAAAATATAAAATTAAAGAAAGAAAAATTATACCCTCTCAAGGTCCGCAAGGGAGTGGGAGTCCACCCCAAGATCTTTTTACAAGATTAAATTCTTTCTTTATTCTCTAATAACCATTTCCACAAAGAAGATACATCTTCCTTTTAAATACAAATTAAAAAGAATAATAAATAAAAACTCAAATCTATCTCTCCCTTATCTCTTAAAAACAAGTCTAACATATCCTAACCAACCCAACCATGTTAATCTATATCAATATCCATCTTTTAAAAAAAAAAAAAATTAAACTTTCAATTTTATCCCTTAAATCTCTACAACTAAAAAAGAAAATTAAAAATCCAAATAACATATTTTTTAAGTCATAGAAAGATTTAAAAATTAAAAATTAAAAATAATTTTTTTATTTGCATAAAAAAGTCATATCAAAAGACATCCATTCGCACCTTATGGCAAAGTCAAGTATCCTGATGCTTCGAACAGATAAGTCAACAAGACGAGTCCTGTCCTAGGTTGAGAAAGGGAGGATTGCAAGCATAAAAAAAAGGGACAAAATCATTGACCACAGCAAGGAGATGAAGCTCTAAGACTAAATGCGTATTTCACATAACAGTAGAATAAGCTTGAAGACATTAATCTGAGCCAAGCTCATCAAAGCCCAGGTGAGCCACCCCACCAGACTATACTCCCACTAGAGTTTATCATATCACTATATCAAAAGTTTTTACATGCTCTCATAAGGCCGTTAAACGGCCACATAACCCCAACACGATGAGAAGTCACACACATAAATTTATAGCAAAGTTGCAGCTGCATTACTCATTAAAACAAAATTAAATTGCACTTCCATTAGAAAGGGAATGCTTTGTACCCCTGAAAAATTTTCACTAAGGCACAAAAACTTCTACACATCCACATAACCAGAGCTCAATCCTTATCCTTTTTGCGAGGGCAGGAAAGGATCCAGTAGCATGTGATGCAAAGGAGGCCCCAATAAAATAAGAGTATAAATCCCAGTTAATACAAGTTCCATATTTAACCCTTTGGGTCTTGAAACAGACACTTAAATGGGCATTGCAAATTGATCATTAACGAATGCCCACTCCTTACCTTGAATCTTTGAGACAATGATAAAAAGCGGTGTAAAATGCTTCATGCTGAAGGTCACATCTGCCCATTACCTATCGCGTAATAAAATAAATCAGATACTTATAATGAGGAACCCAACAGCACTTCCAAGATTCATTTTAGGCACCATATCGCATGACATTAGCCATTTGGAGATGGCGAGCACAGGATCCTCGGAGGTATCCCACGAGTTCCTATATAGACCAGTCACTTCCGATAGCCCATAACATCATCGAACATTCGCTATTCACTCATGGAAATATGTAAATCGAAACCCATAGAGAATCAATATGCATCCCAAAAACACTAGGATCCAGAAAATGGAAGTGTCAATTATACCATGGCCCCACTAGACCAAAAGGCAAAACCAAAGAAATTCATTTCCAACCCCCAATCTCCCATAAAATGCATCCTCAAGAAGAAGAATTATAGTTTTTTTTCCATATATCCAAGTCAAAACCTAAAAGGTTGTGCAACATGTTTATCTGCCGTCAAAGACAATTCCAGTTTCACTGGGCCATATACTGAAAATAATCAATTTTATCTTCCACATTTGATTCTACTTTATGCGGTGTATAGCTTCAATCAAACTACCATGTCACTGAAATCAAAATTGAAACACCCATGTAACTGTGATCCCTATTTGAAAAGCATAAAATACAAAAGTTGTCATATTTACAGTCAGTATTCTTTCGTCCTTTTTTTTTAATTGGGGGGTGGGGGGTTTTATTAGGGCTAATGTTCTTCCAATGGAGCAAACCTACTTCAAGAAAACAAGAGAAAGGTTAGCAGTGGAAGCCAAAATACACACCTCTGATCTAGATTCTGGGGCATGAGGATATTAAGACCATCCGGGCCGAGCAAGGTCTTCAGAAATGATTGTATAAAATCAGCATCGGAGGAAATCAAATTCTTCTGTTGCAAAATTAGTTCCAACAACTCCCCATAAACAGGCATCCAGTTGCTATCATCTTGGATAGTGGTGTCATCTCCTGCAGTTGCACCGTATTAGATTGTATCCCACACTTTCAGTAGAATTGACAAAAATCAGACATCAAGGCAACAGACGGTGCACCATTTTTCTGGGAAGCATTTAGTACATGAAGCCATAGGTTATAAACCCCTTCTATACAAGTAATGGCTTCCATTCGTATGGCCTGCACAGCTAAATATATTAGTCCACCCACTTCAAACACAAAAAATTAACCTTAATAGTAAAAATAACAATTCTCAACATCATAAATGATAACAATACAAGCAACAAAACTTGGGAAAAATCAATATCCCACACCAGTAACTCTGGGTTAAAAATCCTTTTGCAAATTTCTCCATGATAAGAAGAACATACTGTGAAATCAGTGATGCATCTAGGAGTTGGGCCTAGAACCAGGCAAGGCCGGAGCACGTGTCAACCAGACTTACTTGGCCAAGTCTGAAGTCTGAACAAGACTCAAACCCAGACTACCAAAACATTATGCAAACAACTAGGCAATAGGCCGCCAGTGAGACTTGGCCAGTTCCCAAGGTTTTCCAATGCATCATGGCATCCCACTCTGGCCAAGTAACTGGGGCGAGTCCAAGTAGGACACATCAAGTTTTAAACATTGATGAATACAAAACTCCAATAAGTAATTACCGGGACAGCACTAGAAAGTGGAACTAAAACTGAAGGAAATTCCAGGAGAAGTTGCGTATGATTAGGATTATGTATCGAACTACTTGTCTCAGAGGATATCAATGCTGAACAGAGAGCAGCAAATGACCGAAGGCTTTGAATTTGAACCGCATCAGGTATGGACGAGCCTACAAGAAATGTCACCGATCAGACCATGTACCAATGCAACATCTGAGAAATTGCGCCAACAGGCCAAATACCGAAAAGCAAGAAGCCCAACTTGTTTAACATAAAAATAAAAAAGTAAAAAACAAAAAGGAAGCTTCCATAGGCTCCAATAGAACACTAGAAACGGCAGACAAAACCATCCAAAACCAACAGGAAAAACTTATAATGAAGGAAAACAAAGTAGACCATTTGCATCAAATAATTCCAGAAAGCTTTTACTTATAAGACTGATATATATTATCATCCAAGGCATATCTCAATTATTTGGGGTCGGAAATGAAATGAGTTGGCAGGAAATGAAATGAATTCAAGGTCGAGACGCATGGTACCATTATACAAAAGCAACCACAAGTTCGTTGATATACAAATCTGTGAATCTGTGACTTTAGCAAGACAATAACCAGCCACTAAAGATGTACACATGCATTGATTGCCACATGCATTGATTGCTAAAAGAAAATAGCAGTATTTAGACCTTCATAGTACAATGCGCATAAGCACTCAAATTTTGGGAGAACTTAGGTGTGGCTCCAATAGATGATAAAATGCGAGAAAGTAAACTCAGATAGTTTGTGTGCAGCGCAGACTCTATACAACACCTATTAGGAGATGCGAGTTAGTTTGAGTGGAAGGCGCAAAAAGGGCAAATGATAAGGCCCATTTGGATACTTGGAAATGCATCTTCAAGAGATGCATTTGCTGGATTTGAGCCAATTTTCCCCGTTTGGCTCTCAAAATTGTGGGCTGACTTTGGAAACTCAATCATCTAAAAAAAAGACAGAAGAGACATATCCCTCGGAAATGCATCACCCAGGTAGAGATTAGTAACAAGAGGACCCCATAAGAAAAGCCCTACACCCTGCTTCTCCCTCTAACCGTAGCTCTGTAATGCTTCTCCTTCTCTCTATAGCCCTAACTCTTTAACCTTTGTCCTCTGATCTCACTCTAACCCTATTTTCTCTCTCATTCTTCTCTCCCCTTAATTCTTTGTAATCCTCTCTCCCCTCAACCCTCACCTTCAAATATATCTGACCATTGAATGACTGTACTAGAGCATCTATTACAGTTTTTTCCCTGCAACTGTAATAGAAGCCATGTAGGACTGAACTAGACGCATCCCCTACAGAAAATTCCAGATGTTACAGGTCACAGGGCCCTGAATCTGAGAAAATCAACCGGTTTTCGTCCTAATATCGCAAGTGGAATTACTGCTAGTATGAGTGATTTTGGGTTGGATTTAGAGAGAGGGGAGAAGAATTACATTGGAGAAAAGGAAAGAAGAGTCAAATTAAGACAGATGCCAGCACTACGCACGGAAAAAATAGCAATGGGAATGGGGATTCTCCAATGAATGGTCAGAGGATTCCAACAAAGATTCCAGTAGGTATCCAGCAAAGAATGTAGATTGCATTAATTTTATATCTGGGTTTACAAAGTGATTATTTTTCTCGATCATTCTTTCTTTCTTTCTTTCTTTCTTTCTTTTCTTTTTTTTCTATTTGGCTTTCCCGAACTTTTTTTAACTTTTGTTCCCTTTTAGATTTGTGCATTAGTCGTTAAAATATTTTGTGCGATTATTTCATCATGAATATATCTAAAATTTCCCATCATTGACTTTATAGGTTTTCTTTCTTGTTTTAATGTTCCAGTATTAGTATTTTGAGCGATTGTGAGGCATGTGAAGATTTGGAAATGGAGGGAGTATAAAGCGAGAAAATTTGAAGTTTTGGAGGAAGTTTGGGTGTACAAGTTTTTCAGGAAGTAAGGGAATGAGCGAGAAACTGAATGTCAATTAAATAGGCAAGGGACCAATATCCATTGGAGAACTTTTGGTGTATGTAGTGACTGAAAGAAATGCACATAACAAAATTGATAGATGTACGTGTTACGTGTATGTGTGCAAATCCAGGTTTTACAAAAAGGTGAGCAAAAAACTTGAAATATAAATCCAAGGTTGCATCTAGACAGTATCCAAGTACGGTATCCAAGCAGCATTTACCCACTTTCCACTTTCCAGTAAAATTATACCCTAGATGACTCACTTCCAGAATTTGAATCGATTCCAGAAAGTGGGTCTCCAGGGAGCCAAACAAGCCCTACAGGATTCCTTAAGGGGCCATTTGGATACCTAGAAATATATTGTCTATGAAATATATTACTGGTGTAATACATTATCTGCAAATGGATTGTTACTGTTGTTTGGGTAGTATTTAGATGCAACCTGGGAAATACATTGTTATTGTTTGGCTATGTCTAGAAGAGATATAGCAAATGTATTACCAACATTTTACCAGCACGTGCCTATAAACTATCATTTCTTTCTTTTTTGTCACAAAATTCTACTAAAATGCAGAATTATCATTTCTTTCTTTTTTGTCACAAAATACGGAATTAAAATCATCATCACACCGTTCCAAAAAGATTTCTAATAATAACATCATCACCATTCCAAAGAGATTTTCTAATAATAACTTGTATCATTTTACAGTCATCATGACACCATTTCCTACTTATTTTAAGTGCCTTTGGCACGTACATGGAATGACATGTTTTCTAACATGACATTGGTTTCAATATAATAATTCATTGAAACAATATGATTGGAATAACATCATTTTATTATGATAAGCTTTATTTTTATTTATTTTTTATAGAAGTCTTTTAAATGTCTCTCTATATAATTTCAAATAAACAATAAACTTATGATACTAAATTCAAAATCTCTATGGTACGAGTTAAAAAATGGGAAGAAGTTTGATTAGTAAACTAAAAGGTTTGGTAATTGCACTATGAAATTTTGAGGTATTGGAGGAGACTAAAGAGCTATGTTATTCCAATTGAGATTTTAGTAATCTCTTATGAGGATTATGTTGTGTGAAATTTTTTATTATGATTGTGTCGTGTAATTTATCATTGATTACTAATTTTTATTTTTATTATTTTTGTTTTTATATGACAGCTGATGCCGGATGAGCTTAAAAAGGTAGGGATCACCTATGCTATGCTAGTTATTATTATGAAGAGAGAGGGCTGCTATGCTAGTTATTATTATGAAGAGAGAGGGTTTACAAGAGAAGATTTTTTTAATCAGTGATAGGGGATAGTGTAAGTAAAAACGTAAGCGAAAGATTTCCCAAAATTACCCGTCACTCCCGTAATAGATTTTTCACTTATCACCGTGCATAATGGATTTCCCGATTTTTTGGGAAATCTCGCATAGTCTCTTTCCATTCCCTTACGATTAAGTGTAAGCAAACAGTGGAAATGTCATATTTCCTTCCATGTAATCTATTGTCATGTAATAGATTTTCAGGTATCCAAACGGCCCCTTAGAGATGATTTGTAGATATACAACAAGCCAAGATAAGCTTCTAACACAAGAAAATACCAACACAAATAAGCAAGTATTTTTTACAACTATTAATTAGATCTTAAAGGGAAAAAAAAGAAGGGCACAAAAGAAAGAGAAAGAGCCACTGAACCAACCTTGAGTAAAATACTTGGATAAAAAAGGAACTATAGCAATGCGGCTCCGCATCACAAGCAACCGAAGATGTTCTACAAACACATGTTTGCACGAGGACACAGAAAACAAGACAAAGAGTTCGTCAAGTATGTACACCCATGGCCCACTTACGTCCTGAAAATGTCATATTAATTATAGTAAAGGATCAACGATAAATAGAAACCAAATAATGAAATTGAAATAAAGTCACCATTGACTGCAAGCAACCAAAAGCTGATCAATAGAAAAACTCTATAAGTGACATACACACACCAATGTTCCTGGAGGTCCTGTTGCAGGAGGAGGATATTTTAGAATACACCCATAAATAGAGATCAAGAGATTTGGAACAAATGCCTCAAATTGTGATTCAATAAGCTGATAAATGCGGACTTGGTCAAAAACAGTCTCCAACTTCTCTAAGTTAAACTGCACAACTCAGTAAAATAAGTAAGTCAAAAAAATTATCAGATCGAAAGGGAAAAAATTGAAAATCAAAGGCCAGAGTGATTTCAGAGATACCTCTTCAGCAAGGAAAATAGAGCCTTTGGAGTCCCAGACAACCCACTCTCGCTCAAGTACAGGAAGACATGATCGAACAAGCACTAAGAAACTTGCAGCTTCTGCAAACACAAGATATTATGGCCAAAACAATGCAATATCCTAGTAAGGAATAATTATTTACAAATTGACGATAGATTAATTTAACATCACCCAATAAGATGGCATATTTCTTCCAAGACCATGGGTACATCCACATGCTAGAACTATAATTTTGATATATTCACATCCACTAGTAAATACACATCATTAAATCAATTGAGAAAATACATTGGAAGAGTAAATCAAGTATAACTTCACACCAGTATAACCATAAAAAGAATAAAGCATGCGTGTACAAGGGGCAATCAGAAAACAATAACAATAACTGAGAAACAAGGTGAAAACTCAATTAGAGACAATCCACCTAAAAGTTTCATCACACAGCAATCCAGTTGGAACTGTATAAGCTTCCAGGTGCAATATAAATGCATATACCTGTCTTTCGAATCATGAATGTCAGCAATTATAAATGTACATACCTTTCTTTCGAATCATAAATGACCGCAACATGACCAAGAAAAAAATAGCCTTTGACACCCCAGAAGAGCAGCACCACCGACAAAGTTCATGAATTGACTTTTTCTTAGGCTTATCTGCAAAGGTCTCAGCCAGAGCTCCAATTGTCTTGGAATTCAGGGAAGCCACAAGATTCAGTTCTAGTTTCTGCAAAGAAGTTTGATAATTCACCACTTATAATGTACTCAAAAGTTTTCCATTGGTGAGAAAAAATTCAACAAAGACACATTTGGAATGTAAATGAACAATAAAACCATGACAGGCATCAAATGAAGCATAAGAAAGTATATTATTTATGCAATTCTTATATAAACTCGAATGAAACTATATACATTGGGCCACTTCATGTTTTCTTAAGTATGACCAAGATCATAAAAGATAGCAAAAGCAATGTTCGAAAAGCCTAGGCAAGAGAAGAAGCACCGGGAGTAGTGTAGTACCCCGTTTTGAATTTGGATATTTTTTCCCTATTTTTCCCTAATTTTTAAATCCCTAAAATTGCCTAAAAAATTACTAGTAGACCCTTACGGACTATCTTACCCAAATACACCATAGTCTACTTCTTCTATGGTCCATAATCCCTTGGACCATGGTCCCAACCTTCTCGAACATCCTAGAGAAACTCCAAAATAATCCTAAAACCCTAGGAAACCATCCTAAAATCTAGAAACTCATCCTAAATAGTAGAAAATACGAATACCGACTTAGGATGGAAGCTTTCAAGATAAGTTCGATTGAACAAAGACGGAATCTTAATCAAGATCAATAACATCAACGAAATCCCGAAAGACTAGCCTACCATGGTCTAAACGCCACGATTCATAGCATCCAAACCATAGAGCTTGAAACACCACGGTACATGCGTCTATTCCCTAGATCCCCCAAACCCCGAAAAATCAGCTCTCACATACCTGAGAACCCTAGACACCATTGTTTGTGGCATCTGGCCCAAAAACCCCTAAACGCCATGTATTGTGGTGTCTAGACCTAGCAACCCACAAATTTAGTTTATTGAACTCCAAGAACCCTAGACTCCACGTTACGCGACGTCTAATCCAATTTTGCCAAAACACCGTATACCGTTGCATCTAAACATTTTCTACTAGTTAGTTCGAACTTTTTGTAGGAATCCAGTAGGAATCATTCCCAACTACTTAAAACCGACTTTTGAAGCCCATGTAAGGGTCCTATTTTGGGTCATTGAGGAAACACATAGAACCTTAGGTTAGAGATCTAATCCTTTGAGAAAACCTAAAATTAAGAAGCCTAACCCTCAAGAGACCTAAACCATAGCCTCCTAAACCCCAAACTCCAGAGAATAAACCTAACCTAGGTCATCTACCCTTAGCTCTGGGACCATAACCTTCAAACCCAAGATCCAAGAAGCCATGACCGTAGAACTAAGCTACAAACCCCTAATTCAATCTTGACCTCTGTCAACCATCCTTAGTCAAGTATTTCGAACAAATTTCAGAGGAGAAAATCAACCATGTTCGACGAAAAAAATTGAAGGCAAGAGGTGTAAATAAACCATGGTCCTCATACGGGCGACATCGTCCAATTCAAGTGTCCCAGGCCAACCAGCCCGAGTAGGTAAATTTCTTATCCCCTTTCTTTTAAAATTTCCAGTTAATTTTATTTATTTGAGTTAGATTTCAATCTGCAAAGAAATTCTGCTATTCTTGGCAAAAAGTTCAACTCAGCACTGCCGGTGATTTAAAGGAGAATCAGCGTACACAGGTTATATGGCCTTTGAAACGCTCCTTGGCATATGTGATAGAGGTGCTGGAAAAAAAATTTGGCAGCCCTTGTTCCTACTTTCTATTTTCCTAACATCTGATACAAAAAAAGTCTCTCATTATTTAAGACGTCTCCTTTTAGTTGTTGAACTTCCAACTTGATTGATTCGTGTGTTGACCACATCTCACACCCACATCAGCTTGTTGGTTTCTACATGGTTGCACACACAGAACCAAGAAGCCCGGGAAACCATTTCAAAGTTTTCGAAAGCCCTGAAGTGAACATTAACGCTGAGAGGCACACCTAACTATCGAGATCCCGGGCAGTTGAGGATCACACAACTTTAACTGTGAACGCCCCTCCATAATCCTCAGCCCCAAAGCACCCTACAATAGCAGGACCTGGTCAATCCCTTTAATTGGGAGCCCAGATATGTGTGTTGGGTTTTGTGGCCATTAAAGGCCTAGAGAGCTTGTAAAAAATGATATTCATAGTGGAATATGCACTTCAATGGGAGTGTGTATGTAGACTAACAAAGGGTTGGCGATTTATGGCCCTGGTCATGGGCAATGTGGCACTACCGAGAAGGGTTTGTAAATCCCTTGTTGAGGTCGAAGAGATGCTCAGGGATATGTTTATAGACTAGGCGAATTGTATGGTCACCTGTGTGCGATTGTAGGCCTGTGAGAGCTAGGGTCAAAACCTCAACAAACTTTCGTACGACATGTACGCATGACAACTGCTTTACTGGGAAGCTACTCTAAAAAGGGACACATGTACATATGCATAGAAAGAGCCCCGTTTTCCATTGAGGTGACAAATGCTAGACTTGCTCTTAAAAAGGGGAACTGAAATCCACATTCCAAGATCATAGTCCCACGGTTTATTATCCAACTTTAGTAGGGCAATCATGAGCCCCTACAAAGAGACTATGGGTCACGGGACTTTATTGGGTTGGATAAGAAAACAGTAGTGGATCATAGTTTCTGGCGCGAGTGGAGTACCCTTATTGCCACTATTTTTTACCTATTAGTACCAGTCTACTCCTAGTATATTTCATTTTGGTATTATAAATGTTCCAATGATTTTTAAATATTTTTTCCAAATTTTAAAATATTATCTCTGACCTATTTTTCATAAAAGGGTATTTCTAAAAAATTTCAAAACTTAATATCATATGTGGGGACAAAGGATCCAGCCCATGTGGGGCCCACATGACCTCTAGGGTCACACGCCCTCTTTTTTAGCACATAGGAGGGTACGCCACTTTCTTTTTAAAGCAAAAGTGGCACGCCCCTTTTTTATAGCATAAAGGGACACACCCTATTTTTTTGGTGTGGGTCCCCCCCAAGTATTTCTTATTAAAACTATATGTTGCTCCACGCCACTTTTTTAGGAAAATAGGGGGACGCCCCGTTTTTCTTAAAATTTAAATGAGTTCAAAGATAGGAAATCTTTTGATTTCAAATTAGATTTGGTTTCCTATTCTATGGGAGTTATTTAAGATTCAGATCTTCCTTGATTATGGGAGATTTGGATAATATTTAAAATTAATAATATTTCAATTTTGAATAGGAGTTGGACTTGGGTCAAAGTCTAAGAGGATAAGGTTCTTATTTTGGGATAGATGGCTCTGATTAAATCTCTTACGCCACAAATTTCCCATTTATCCTAAAGTTCTAACTGGAAATTGGACAAGACAATACTTAGAAGGAACCATATTCAAATTCGAAGATAGATTTCTTTATATATAAAGATCTAGTTTGAACCCCCTCACATTAAAAGATCTTTCTCTATCCCAAGACTAGATACATCTTTCTCATGCCCCAAGTCTCTCTCTCCTCTTTCCTTCACGCACAAAATAGGGGAGATCTCTCTACCTACACGTGCCCCCCTCATCTTTACCCAGAGGGAGGCACACCACCCTCTCTCTCCTCTACATTTTGTCTTATAAAAAAATATAGGCGGGGCTATTGAGAAACCCTAGAGCAAGGGTTTGTTGTATTTTGAAGAAAGGAGAGAGAAGTTCAGCCTAGAGAGAGATCAACTCACATATGCAGCCCTAATTTGTTCCCATAGGGTTTTTGTAAACCCTAGTTTATTTTTCCTCTTTAAAACCCTAGACAAAGAAGTATGGCCTACAAAGCTTCCCTATCTCAAAATTTTCAATAACATTTTAAGTAGTAAAAATATGTCGTTGGTCATGGAATCGAGTGTAGTGTATACCAAGTCCTGATAGGGTAACTTCAGGCATCTTCTAGTAAGTCTTCCCAATAGTTTTAAATTAATATTCTTATTTCTGTAAATTTTCTGGAACTTATTTTATGCTAAAACTTATAGTGGAAGTTAATTTAAAGTTCTTGGATAGTTTATTTTTCTCTTAGCAATAAAAATAAATATCCTAGGTTGCATCTAGGGCAATATTTTAATTTTACAGCAATATATTGTAGCCCATTAAGTGTATTTTAGGTATTTGCAATAAAAGTAAAAGAAAATTTTTTAATTTAATACCTTGACTTCCACATAGCCATACCTTTCAGTGTGGGTACCCAACAAGACCTAGCTGTATTTCAGCCTTTTTATTAGTTAGGAACCCAACCGTGCCTTGACCTATCTATAGTTTATTAGGCCAAATTGATTTCAAACCTTTCGTGTGGTGTACTGCATAGATATAGGTTAGAAAGCTTGAGTTTGGTCTCGGTCTAGGTTCACACCTCAGCCTGAACCTCGGTTTGTCACAAGGTCTAAGAAGGGCCTGCACCTAGTCCAACTCAGGTCTCGGTCCAGGTTTACACCTAGGCCCACACCCTGGTCTCTCACTAGGCCTAGAAAGGGTCCACGCCCAGTTTGACCCAGTCCTCGACTCAGGTCCCTACCCAGGCCCGAGCCAAGTCCATACCTAGATCCAAAGCCTAGTCCAACCATGTCTTGGTCCAGACCCACATCCAAGTCCATACCGAGGTCCATTTTAGGTCAAATTAAGGTTCCCTAAGTCTAACCCTGTCCAGCATGTAGTTGTTGTAGGCAGATGTGGGATCGGTTTGGGGAACGCCGAACTGCCACATGGTGGAAGCTCCTTGGTCCTTGTGGTTAGGATAGACATACATACATTCCACAAGTTAAGGAGCTAGATCCTAGTGAGATCCCATGTCACTAGGATTGAGGTCTTCACTTAGAGAGATCCAAGTTCGTCCATACATAAAACGAGATCAATGGCTGCTAGATCTATTATCATATACCTTAACTTATTACCAATGTCATAGTTACAGTACTCCAATTTACTACAATAATACAATTCAATAATATCATAAATTGACTTACTATGATATTAAGCATAGTTTTCTAATACCATAATTCTTGTACACTACGATGTGATATACACCACAATTTAATTTGTTCTAAAGAAA